CATAAAATGTTTCACAATTTTGGTGTAACATGCTGCGCGCGCACCCTGCGCACCCTGAATTTCCAACACTGGTGGTGATAACTCTCAAGGATCACTGGTGATATTTTAGTATTAATATTAATATTAATATTAAAAATTCGGATTTGGCATTAAGCCGAACCGAACCAAACCGTTCGGAACTTTACATTTATTATTCAAATTATTTCATCTGGTATATATTTCGAACCAAGTCAAACCAAAGGCTCGAGTAAAATGAATCAAAAATTGGGTGATTCAAATCATTCAAATTTCATTTGATTCATTCAGTGCATTAGTTTTCAACACTCAGGAATTTATTTAAGAAATTACCAGGCATACAGAAATTCCAACATTTCTTTTTGAAGCATCTGATCCTAACGTTGTCAAAACTCGGGAGGTTGCTAACGGGCCTTTACATGTCTCATTAAACAGTTGTGAAACAGTTTTCAAATTGAACGATTCTTTTTTCAACAAATTGAATTGTTTTCTTTACCTAAAAAAAGAGATCATTTGCAAATAAACCAAAGCCATACAAAATAAATGTATTGCTTGATTTGACTGCTTCTGGATGGAATCTAATCAGAGAAGAAGTATTGATTAAATTTCATAACTGCAAGGATCCTGAGGCAAGGTATTTGCTAGACCTTTTAGATAATATTATACCATTGGTTCTAGATTTTTATCCAGTTGTATTTCGAAGTGGAAGTTGGTCTGCATACAGGGAAGCAATGTTTTGTGCTTAGGTGTTCTTTTATAGGTATGGTAGTAAAAATTATAATAAAGTGCCATTGGCATTTTTTAGTGATGTATTTTATTGGTTTACTACACATAATCCAATGGCACATACCATTGAACAAAATATTCACTTATTTAATGACTATTATGTTGAGAATTTCCATTCTTCATTACGCCTTCAAACAAATGCATCAAATTCAGCTGAACAAATTATACAACAAGCCAAAATCATTGATCAATCACATGGTTCTAATATATTTAAGGAAAATTTTTCAGATTCCCATAATATGGGGCATACTGCAACAAAACCAGACAAAGTGGACATTTGTATTACTATTACAGAAATTTAAGGGATCAATAGTATTTGTTTAATATCACAATCGTGTTACAATGTAATGTGTTCAATGATATTTATCTAGACAAAATAGTTAATATGAAACTCATTTACATCAGGTCTATACATGAAGTCGAAATTAAAATACCAATGTCAAAATGTTTCAACTTGAGGCAACTACATAGTAAAAATCAGTTTCGACCTTATTTTGATCCTATTTTGACCAGATCTGCAAATGGTCAAAATAGTTTCGACTTCATGTATAATCAGGTCTACTATGGGACCAAAGAATTACAGCACCATTAGAAGTATTTTGAAAAAGGATCAAGGTAAAAAAATTGCTCCTTATATTTTCAAATAAATGACACTCAAACACTGGAAGTTTATCTAAGAAAAGAAAGGATTACCTATGAAATTTACCAAGAAAGAAAAATAATAAATGTTAGAAAAGAAAGCATCATGATGATGCACTATTACCTAATAAAAAGCAAAAATCTTTAAAAGGAAAATAACTATCATTTTCTTTGATAGTTGGAATTATAGAGGGAAATAACCAAAAATTACTTTCTTATTTTCAATCAAGGTCATTTCTTAGTTTCTTTAATTTCAATTTGTGCAGTTAATTGACCATTCTGTTGTAATTGTTTCTGTCTTTTATTTCATTACTCAGACTTTCTTGAAACTTGGCTATTTCCTCTCTTCTTTCAATTTCTAATGCTTCTTCAGCAGTGGCTAATTCTTCTTGTAATCCATTTATTTGTCTTTCATAAAAAGCGGACTGACTTATTTCCTCACTAGGCAAAAGAGGGAGTTCCTTTTCTTCCATGTCTTCATATCTAATACAAAAACAAACATATTTATCAGCACAAAACATCAATATAATGTTTAGTTTGTAATCTACCACATCTCTCACACTTTTCCGATTCATCATTCTTGAATTTCTCCTTATAACTTTCACACACCACATCATCTGCAACATATTTACCATTTACCTTAACAATTAGAACAAAAATCACATGTTTTCCAACTTGACCTTTCTAAAACTAAAAGTGTGTAAGTTAGTTCTCTCATTAATTATCTACTTACCTCTATTCTAGCAACTAACTCTTGGATTTGGCATTTTTTGTTTTCCACCAATTGATGGAATTCAGTTTTTAATTTTGTTCTTAATCATCTAAATTTGCTTTGCTTTTTAGGTAAAGCAGGTAAATCCTTTTCAGCTAAATGCAATTGATTTTGCAATCCTTTGTTTTCTTCTGTGAGATTTTGTTTCATGATTCTTTTTCTGAAATTATCTTATTAGACACCTCTACTTTTTTCCTTTCTTGTTTTAATTCTCATTCTAATTCACCAATTCTTGCATCTTTATTCTCAATTATCTTACTAGAAATTTCTAACTTTTGGTTTTTCTCTGATATCTCCTTTGCTGATGCTTCTTTCTGAGTTCATATTTCTTTTCCTCCATTTTCTAAAGCCTCTAAATGAATTTCATTATCTATTTCAGCCTTCTCTGCTCTTGCATTTCATTTTTAAACAAGGAGTTTATTCTTTTCTAACTCTTCTTTTAACTCAGAATTCCCTTTTTCTAACTCAGCAATCTTTTCTTCAAGTTTTTTATTTTTTTTATAAATAAAACCAAAATAATTTGAACTATTTCAGGTTCATCCACTAAAGCTTTTAACCACATTTTCAAGAGTGAAATTGTTTCCGAAAATAACTTTCTCAACTCCATTTTCTTTTTGAATCTTTACTCAACCATCCTTAGGTCAAAAATGTTGTTCTAAGGTCATTAAAGTTCCAGCAATTTCGGGACTTTTATTTTCCTTAACATTGTAAATAGCATTTCAAATTCTTAGTTTAAAATCATATTTGTTTACTAATTGCTTTTTTAGTGTTTCTATTTCATTTAATAGTTCTTTCTTTTCTTTTTGTTGTTCGTTTATGATGTTTGTCATGTAAGGTTGTGGGCGAAACCTCCTTAGTAATTGCTGAAACCATGGCAAAACTATATTAAATCTTATCAAAAATCCTGTTGAAACTATGCCAAAATGGAAAAACCTCAAAATGAGAAACTCTGCCAAAACTCTAATAAACAATTAATGTGTAACCTGCCGAAACCCTGCTGATTGATTTCTGGAGGAGTTTTAGCAAGCAACCTTATTGTCATGATTTTCTTGTTTGTTCCTTTTTTTTACTTATTCTTTTAATATACTATACTTATTATATCCTTTTTATGAATTTTAGTATATACATTTTTACTTTAAAAGCGGAAAAAGATTAAACTTATTAAACTTAATGACAGTAAAGGACAAATTAATGAGTGACAAAATCATGGAAGTGATTTTACATGTATTCTAAATATTTTGTTTGTTGCCATTATAGAATGGTTTTGGGCAAGTAATATCTTTATATTCATCTTTCACAAATGGACAAATATTATGATAAAGATATTCTTGTCTTTTGTAATCCAAGGGAGTGGTGTTAACACTAAGATAGATAAAGCTCTAATTTCTTCAAAAATATCTGTTCTCCTAATTTTTAATAAATTAATTTCAACAAAAGAACCATTAGCAACTTCTTGAACTTTCACTGTACCAAGATTAGATACTTCAAAAAGAAAATGTTGATATTTTTGTAGGCCATTTAATTTTTAAAAAAAAATTCCTAAAATAGATTTGATATCTAAGTATTGAAAACCTTTTCCTGCCTTGTAGCATTGAGCTCTATTCAATCCTGCTGGACTAGATCTTTTCACTACATCAACTACATGGTCCAGACTATACATGCAGCCCAAAGTATTTTAACACTGTCATAAAGGGGGTTACACATGTAGTAAAGGGGTTACACTTATGTTTTTAATAGTGAATGCCATAATTAATTTCTACTTTCTACCATCAAACATATCCACCAATTTCTGCAAAGTTACACAATTTTGGAAATTTTGGGATATTTTTTGTAATATTTTGACTGTTTTGAATAAATATTCCCCCTATTTTGTATATTTTGTACCCCTTTAACGTTCTTTTCAGAAATTCTCTAATACCAAACCAATCACTTTTTTTTTATATACTGAATTCAGGATCGCAAGTAATTAGTTGAACAAAATCTGGTTTTGTAATCTGTTAAAGCTTTTTTATAATAATTTTTTTTACTTTTCTTTAATTTATATAGTAACTATGAGTGAAGGAAACACTGGAAATAATAATTCACATATTTGTATTATATGCAACAATACATATAATTCAAAAGATAGTCTAAATCAACATGAAACACGAAAACATTCTAATTACCATGAATATCCTTTAAATATTCTCTCTACTTCTGAATATTCTTTATTAGAATTTAAAAAATCATTAATTTTTAATATTAAAAAAAAATTGACCTTAAATCATAAAAGTTTAGGGAAAAAATCATTAACTATTCCATGTAGTGAAGGCATGTTCCTAAATATTTTTAAAGATGAAATTCAAAGGTATTCACCTGCTAGGCGTTTTTATCTATGTTCATTCATGGGAGAAGAAGGTGATGAGAAATTAAGAGAATTACTTGGTAGCGAAGATTGGGAAATTAGATATTATGACAATAATCAATATGCTTACGTGGATATTATTAATAATCAAATAAAAGTAGTATGGAAAGAAGTTGGGTTGGTAGAAGCAAATGATAGTAGTATCTCTTCTTCAAATATAATTATTAGTTTTTCAACATATAAAGGAAGTCATTAAATTTTTTTTTATTTATTTATAATTATATTTATTATTTATATTTAATAAATTAAAAAACATTAATAATTATAATAATTATTATACTTAATATAAAAAATATTTATATAACCAATTTCTATGTTTATTATGTTTATTTTTACTAATTGTTGGTATATTGTTACAATTATAATATAGGAGGCGATTCTCATGTTCTAAAATCTCAATTACAGCCTTTTTTCTCCCCTTTCCACCATCTTTCAAGGTTTTTCTAAAATATTTACTTATTTGCATATGGTTTTTTTTTTTCAACAGGACTGCATGTGAATGCCTTAACTCATTAATTTAATTAATAAAAGTTCATTATAGAATAAAATAGGTTAGAGTCTTAATTAAAATTTATAGGATCTTTTCCCAAAATGTAAAAAGATATTTTTAATAATTTTTATCATTCACTTCTCTTGCCTACTGTGAATTTTTGTGTTAATTATTAATAATAATTTTACATTTGGTGACGATTGACAAGAACCATAAATTTTTGTTGTTTCAAAATTTTGTACCCCATTAGGTTGCGCAAATCAGTGGATATGAATTCCCTATAAAAAATTTGGTATGGAAAATGTATGGAAACCAGCATAATGGACACTCATTTTGTGCAACAGTCATTTGTATAATAGGCAGGCGGTTACACAGAGCGTGTTGCTTCTGAAACTTCACTAGAATATAGCTGTAGCCTCTCTAAGTCCAGATCATCAGCAAGATCAAAATTATCTCACACTTTTATAATCAAACTTTTGCAAGAACTTTCACCATAACATATGTTATGTTGATCATTTTTTTGTGATCTGCAACAGTGTCCACTATGCTCTCCGCACCCTGAATTTCCAACACTGGACACATTAGTAGAAATAAAAAAAATTACATGCAAACTTAGTCATTATCATGTGTTCAGTAAAATCCTATTTTGCTATTGATTATGTAGTTTTTTGTGCATGTGACTTACTTTTGTAACCTGTACAGCCCTTGTCATTATACTTTGTTGCAGATTATTATAATCAGTCTCAGAAAGTTCTTTGCGAAATACTAGAAATGCCATTTTAGAAAAAGATACCCATAAACTTAACAATTGATCTACTGTATGATTTTTTGTAGTGGCACATGATTTGATCAAATGTTCAATGAATGCCTTATTTAACACGGTAGTAGATATTGCTCGATTAATAAGAAATGGCATTATCATACTTAGATGAAGATAATTGGAAAAGAAGTATGAACCTAAATGGGTAATTGGATTTTGTTGACAGGCCCAAGTTGAAGGAAGTTCAAAGTTGTGCCAAATTTTCAAAAATTCATCTTCCCCTGTTGTAGATAATATTTCAAAAGTTTTTTGAAGCATTTCTTTAGCTAGACCATCCATACAATGAAATGCATCATGTGGGCATTGAATATGACGATCACATATAATTTTATCAAAGATAGGAGGTTTCTCTCAGATACCATATTCTGTTGCAAGGAAATCCTGTTCAATTTGAGTCTGAGCATCATTCATAGCAGCAAACTGCAATGTAGTCTTATGATGGTACCGCCCATGTTTTGAAATGTCAAAAGTAATATCATGTAAATTATTATGGTGAATCATACAGTTATGGCATCCATAATGTGCATTGTGGTTTTTTATTCCTGCCTGTTCATTACCTTCTGGTAAATCACTAGTAATAACTCCCAATCCACCTGTAACCCATACATGTTGATTATTAATTTTCAGTTTATACCCATGTTCAAGTTCTTGAATATCATCAATAAGGGGTTGAAGTACTTTATCACTTGTGGCTGTGAAAGGAATAAACCCAAGAAGAAAATGGTTTTTGAGCTTTTGATGAAGAACTTGTTTCATATTGCCAATCTGTAAATAAATGCCACCAATGGCATGATATGCATTACGAAATGGACCAAACTTGTCAATATAAATGTCTAGAAAAAAATTAAGTACTGGCAGACCATGTGGAGGATCTTGAATGGTGACATACTCAATAGGATGATGATGTCATAAATCAATTGGTCTTGTAGTCCATTGCCCATTTATTTTATATACAATTTCATCAATAGAATATTGATAGTTTGTGGGTTTGCTAATAACCATTAACCATATATATACTTTAGACTTAATATTTATAGGGTTAATAATTAATGTTTTATCTGTCATCCACAGATGTCCATTACAAGAAGCAACTTTTCTCTGCTTGGATTTTAGCACTGAAGGTAATGAATTAAATTCAAGAATACACTCAATTTTAATATAAATATCTTGGGAATCATCAATGTGTGGTATCAATATGATTCTACCATAGTATGTTTTGTTGTTTGCACATGTGTCATAATACATGATGAAATCACCAAGACTGTAAACCACTATATTCATATTCATATTCATATTAATAATAATTATAAAATAAATAAAGAATTAATTGGTAAATTTTATTTTGACTAAATATATTTACCATGATTTAATTTGATGTTTTTCTCACCAAATAATGGCGATTTTTGCCAAAGGTCTCCATGCCATAATTCATGCCCGTTTTCACTGTGTATACCTGGGCCAAAATACATGTTCTTGCACAACTCTGGATTTGATAGTACACAATGAAGAATGTTTTTTAAAGGAAAAATTAAAGCTTGACCAATGGATTTAAAAGTGGATGGCATGTTGCGATTGTTGAGGGTAACAGTGTGGCCTTTAAATGGAAGGAGTGGTAGACCATTATGGTACTTCTTAATGGTTGTAAGTGAGAACGGAACATCTCATGAATTGAATTTATGATGTTTGACAATATTTGCAAAATCTTTGTACGCTTCTAAACCTGATTTAAAAATAAATTAAATAAATTATGTAATTTGCTTCCAAGCAGTGTAAAATTAGTCATATACCTATTTGATGTTTTGTAACCCATAAAAATAACAAAAATATAGTAAAGTTTGGAAAATATGGTCCTGTATCTCCAGAGTAGTAATTTTGCTTCTCATTTCCATCATACACTTGCTCATCAAACTCTTGATTTGTTCTATTTGTATTTTGATTTTCACTAGAAATATTGTCATAAAAATCATTTCCACCGTTTATAGGAAAGTCCTCACTTAGTTCCGATTGTAGTGACAGGATCTCATTTTCTTCATATATATCTTGAGCTTGCTCTTGTATAGTTAAAGAACTTGATGCTAAACTAGGCAACGAAGAACCAATATTGGTATTTGCAGATGAAGAGGTCGCATCACTTAGATCTTTTACTCGTATGCATTTGGGTTTACGCAAACGGAAATCAGATACTTGTTTGTTTTTTGTCAGTTCTAGTCTGTTTTAGAAACATGTTTTATGAAAAAAAAAGTTTTTATTTTAAAAAGAATCACTAGTAAATTGTAATTGTTATTATTAAATTATTTTACGCATTTATTATTAAATTAAAAAAGTTAAATTTTTGTAGGACATAGAAAATTAAAAAACCTATAAACTTTGCGTATCATTATATATTTATTTTCTTTATCTTTATCAAATATGCCTTGTAAAAGTACAGCAGTTAGGAATGTCACTACAAAACGTCCTGTAACTAGAAGTACATTTCAACCCATTAATGAAACTACGACTACTATTAATGATAACCCTGAATTAAAAAAAGTCTCTACACTGAATATTATAAATAAAGACAAAAGAAACAAGCATGTGATATTGAAGCTTGTGGCAAACTCGTAGATAAAAAATAATTAATGAAAATTCTGACATTTTATAGCCAAAAAAGATTTAAATGAACTAGATGATAATACTTTAAATATAGATGGACTGAACTCATGAGATAAATATATAAAGCTCAATAATGGAAATCAATATAAAATTTACTGTTATAGAAACTATGAAATACCAATAAAAAAAAATTTGTTAAAAATCACGTTACGTCATCGTTTGAATCACGTGGTTACGAATTATATTGGAAGGAAAGAAATTTAGAACGAATTTCAAGTTTATGCAAGGATATATTCTTAGAGGACAGAAGTAGTTATCATAAAATCATCATATCTATTGTAACGATCTATTATTTACCATTATTATATAGATGTTCTTTAGTTGAGGTAAAAGAGAAAACGTGCTGTTAAATAATAAGGACAGATTTTTGATAATTTTACGATCAATCACTGCATTAGTAGAGCATATACTATCTGGAATCCGTTGAGAAAAAGATACGGAGTGTAAAAATTTTCACCATTACTAGAAAATTGGAGTATCTTTTGCATGCTGATTCTGACGTAACACCAACCCACAAATATAAAAAAAAATTTTCACTTAGAATTAATACTTTTACTTTTGGAATAATAATATTTAATTTTATTTTTATTGAAATATAATTTGACCAAATGACGAAAGATTTTTTAAAAAATTGAAAGGATTATAATAATATTAATAATTCCTTAAAGATTTTATTTATATATAGTTTGCAATCGGATTGGTTTAATTAAATATTGAAATAAAAATAAAAATTAATAATTTATTCTTTTTTTAAAAAAAATTATATACTTCAAATGATGATTATATTTAATGCACAATTATTGAGGATTATTGCTTTACTTTTCTCCTCAGAAGAATGAAAATAAAGCACTGAAAGAAGAATCTTTTTTTATGAAGATTTATTATGAACAGAAATCTGATGAAGTTTTTTTCTTTATTTTCTATTTCTACTTTCTTTCCTTCTTATATTAATAATAATAGGTATAGTTATAATTATTATAATTATTAATTGCTTTAAAATCCAAGGATGTTTCAAAACTTCTTCCAAGGATAATCGTTGATCAGGATTTTTTGAAGTAGCTATTTTTTTCTTTAGAGGTAATAAAAATATTTAGAGAGGAGATGATTTATTTTGTAAATATTGAAAATAATTAGTATGGCAGTAAAGATAGAAGTTACCAATTTAATAAAATGTTTGGCATCTTCTGATATATGATCATGCATTGAATATTCCACTCTCACTATTCTTTTGTGTGTACCTTTGCAACCACCTGGTCCTGAAAATGGAACTGTACGAAACAACAGTTCATAACATAAAACTCCGAGAATCCACAAGTCAGCCCTTGAACCATGAATTAGACCATCAACCATCTCTGTTGAAGATAACACAACAACATGCCACAAAATGTTCTACACCTTATTATATATTTTTTTATAGTGATAGATATATTATTATAATTGACAATAAATAATTAGACATTTTTATAACAATAATTATAATTAAATCCATCTTCTACCTTTGACCAGGAGTATGTACTGACCAACCAAAGTCAGCTATTTTAAGATCATTGTTTAGACCCAATAAAAGATTTTCAGGCTTAATATCTTGATGGATTATTTTTTTATGGTGAAGATAAATTAAAGCATGTGCCACCTGAGTGATATATTACTAATTCACAATAACATATTGACTGATTGAATTAGTATCTTTTGTTCACAACTAATACAGTAATAGGAGGAATTACAAACCCTTGACACATACTTTTTGGTAAATCTGGTACACTTTCTAAGATGTTTATAAATTTCTCCATAGCTCCATATTCAAGAATCAGAAATACATGGTTTTCTTCACAGAAACGTCCATATAAACAAAGAATATTTGGATGTCTATAGTAGTAACAACAGCAACAAAATTAATACAATAAATACAACTATATCAATATAATATACATATATCCACATACACATCTGTCTACCTTAGTTAAATAAAATTCAATTGTCAAAAATTTTCAGATGCCTCAAATTAAAGCATAAATGCTGTTTTTTTATTCTATTAATGATAAAATCACATTATCTTGTAGAAAAGCAAATTATTTAAATATACATATATTGTATATAAATAACATCTTGGTTTTTGTATATAATTCCATAATTCTAATAATTATTGTAACATAACCTGGTAATTACAAAAAATTTAGAAGTCTTATAAAAGTACTTGTGGTATTACTGAAATGGAAAAAAATCTTCTTTTTTGGTGTAGGAATAGTTGATCGAGTCATGCATTGTTTCTTTGTTGATGTATGATAATTATCAGTTGTTGATAAATAAGGCAGTATTATGCTTATATACTCTTCAACAAATAACTGTAATTGTAATTAATATTTACTTTAAAAAAGCCATTTTGACATAATAATATCTATCCTTAGATTTTCAATTTCACACAATGCATATTCAACTAACGAACAACTAATATTGGATCTTGGCAACTCGAATTCACCTGACATGTACATTCTGTAAAAACCATCATAAGTTAAATCCATTCCGTATATCCTTAAATTGTGGCCTGCCAGTAAAAAAATTTTCAGAAATATCAGATAAACACATCCATAAAAAAAAAGAATGTTAAGGTTAAAAATACCATACCAAAACAATGTATACTAAAACTGCCATGTCAAGTTCAGTAATATATTTAGTATATAGTTTATTAAGGGAATCTTTCATTAAATCTAAATTCGCTAAATAGGTATTAGCTTTATTGGAGACTTAAATAATCCATATAATGTTTCAAATTTATCAGCGTCACCATTTATGTCTACAGAGATCATGAAATCAAGCTTATGACCATCACCTTCTTCATTACATTTTCGTTCAGCACTTGACATGGACATCTTTGTTAGCCCTGTAGTAAAATAAACAGGTGTCATTAAAATAATGAATTTTAAATGTCCAACACAACATAAATTGACCATTAATATTTTTACCAGTTAATATCATGTCCTTGCTCAATAGTGAAGAATGGCTTTAAAAATGGATGCAATAATTCATGAACACAAGTATCTTCTACTGTTCGATTGTCATCAAATGAAGTCTTCCAATTCTCACAACTATTGAGTTTTAATATATTTAAATTTGGGAATTGCTTAGATCACTAACAACAAATACAAGTGAAGAAATTAACCTACAGATGTTTCCACACATTCTGGCATTTTCTTAACAATTTTTTACCAGGATCATCTGATTTCACTTTAAGTTTATAATATGACTGTTCTATTGAGTGTCTTTATCATTTTCTCTGAAGCCTTTAATAATTTTATTTAGATTATTTTTTTGATATAAAATTTTCATCTGGCCAAAAGCTTGCTTTCTAATGGATGGCGGGATATCAAGTCTTGTTCATATGGGATTCTCTTCCATAAAAAATTGAATTTAGTGATCTTATATTTGACTATCTCTGTGAAGTGTCTACATCAAAAGAAAGTTAAAAAAATAATTAACAATATTCCTGATGGGTGAGCAGCATATGCTATTTACCTTCATTAGCCAAAGAGATGGTCATATTCATAAAGTCTAAAAACGATTTTGTTATACTGTGGTTATCAATAATCCATTCCTGTACAGTATACATAAATTCTAGTTATTTTTGGCAGTTTAAATAATCAGATATGGAATTAGAAAGCTTGCAGCCACATACATCAGCGATGGCTTTTTCGTCATTCAAAAACCTCCATTCCAGGATGTGTGTTTTCTTAGCAGGTGGGCTTGTTTTTGAGATTGAATCATTCTCAAGAGGATGCTTGACAAAAACATTGGAAAAGCCTTCAGATATAATTTCTTGGGCATTGTTCTCTGCAGCTTCACGATATAGATTAGTACTACCAATGAGATGTACTCGTTTTACTGCCATCTGTACAAGATCAGTGTCGTTCATGTTTGAAATCAATGATGAAGAGATCCATTATTATTTGTATGACAATAAATGATAATAAAACCTTTCTCCACTCATAAATTATTTCTTCCCAATAAGGCTGTAAATTTTTGTTTCCATGTTGTTTTTTTACCATAGATATATGAAGAAAAATTAGTGTCTAGTTTTTATAATACAAGTAAAAGGTTTAACCATTAAAAAAAAAAAAAGTAAATCGCAATGGTGAGGCCATGATAAGAGCTGATACTCCTAGTCCAGACAAGAATAGACTGAAGCTGCCAGCACCATCACTCAGGCTGGAATGAGAGCAAATACTCCTAGTCCAGACAAGAATAGACTGGAGCCCCTATTACAAATAAATATACAAGTACATCACCTTTTCTTTTAAAGCTATTAAATTGTTGGAATTCAGTTTTTTTGCTTCCTACAAAAATCTACGAGATCAAGTGAGGTCAAGAAAACTCCAATCGTCTAAAAAAGGGGGCGAGGAAATGATAATGTCTTTGTGAAGATTAAAAACTCAGTATGGACTATACTGTATTCTCCTTCAAGTATGAGTTTAAAGCTGGAATAATATGACAGTTAGAAAAAAAGAGCTTATTTTTTTTTTCTTTTAAATTGTTGTCCAATACTCACCATCGTATCCAGGATGCTCATGATGCAAGTAATATTTATGTCAAATATTTTTTTTGATTTAAACTGGAATTTTACCACCTTTTAATTTATTTAAAAAAAAAGAAAAAAAAAAAAAAAAAAAAAAATCAGTCAATTAATTATTGTTTGATTTATCTATTCATTATGAATTTTA